ACTTTTCCCCACAAGACTCGATCGCACTGCCTGGTGTTTGAGAACAGGATGACCGAGACATGGTCTTTCGAAAAATGTTCCCCCTTAACCCACGGATAGGCCGGTACACCTACATCATTCTACATCTGCTAGCCTATCCCGGAAGAGGTCACACTATCTACTCAACTAAGCCAGAGCCCATTTTGGCTTGTGGCTGCACACAGAAGCTTCTAGACATGAGAATATGATTGATCTCTTTGAGCATGGGTGGCCGACCACTAGTCGTGCACCACCATGGATTAACCATGCATGCTCCCACTGTACTTCGCCACCATTCAAACCAAATACCGCCCAGGTAGTTCATTTACAAGTCTTGGTCCTGATTACTACTTTGTCACTCATGTCTCGCCATGTTCGCTTCCCAAACCATGTCTACATTTAGCGAGGCAAAAAAAAGACTTACACGGTGGTGACAAGGATGTATAGATCAGACCTACCTCAAATGAACTACTAGGTAACGGCATAGCCATCTGGCAACAATAAATCCTACCATGCAATCCTACCACAAAAGGACTAAGTGCATAATATAAAACATAGGTAATTGAAGGAATGATCAAATGTGAACTTGCCTCGTAATAGTTGATGAAGACGATATCGCTCTCAAAAATTTACTTAATAGAACTATTCGTCACTCTCCGATGAAAATCTATAAAGTCAAACATTGCACTCACATAAGCAATCATTTCAGAGAACCAAGAAGAACATGCAAAGCAAAAGTCTTGGAAAACCAAATGAACATTCAACACACTTAACTAGCATGGAAATATCCTAAGTGCAAAACAACATGTGACATAGGGTGCAAAGATGTGATGTGTACTAAAGTGCATACATGGCATAATAGTAAAACTATCATAGACAGACCATTTTTGTGTGGAAAATGTGTGACAATGGTCCAAGTGGCAGGGTTTGGCTACCGTGACATGGTGCAACAAGAATCACATCAATCGAAGCTACGGTTTAGGAGATATGGCCAATTGAAGTTTGAGTTCAAATCTGAATAAAGTTCAAATTTAAATTTGGCCAAAAGTTTTCAAAGTTAGTTTTCTGGATAAAGCTATTCGAGACGAACATTTTGCCGCTGGTTTTTTTGGATTTGTATCTACGGTTAAAAAGTTGTGGCTAATCTAAGTTTAGGGGCTAATATGCTAATTCCAGGGACTGAACGGTGAAGAAAGGTAATCACGAACAGGTCCTGGCCATGTGGCAGATTTCTATGGCTGCAAGTTGTTCGCTGTGAGGCTTACATGGCGAACAACCGCTAAATAGGAAAAAAACAGCAACCGCGACTAAACTAAAGAAAACAAACAGTCGGTTTTAATCAAAACCGTTCGGTTTAAACGAACCGCGGTTAACCGATCAAATACTAATAAATAAATAAAAAAACTAAATGAAGCGAACAGGAGGGTTCTCTTACGATGGCGACGACGACGAACAGGGACGGCGGCGCTGGCGTCGGGCGGTGGACGGGGCGGCAGCTGCGGTGCTCCTCGGCGGCGGGAAAGAGGACGGACGGGACGGGCGCGAGGTGGGCAGTCCGGTGGTGGTGACGGCGCGCGTCGGGGTGGCCGGGATGGGTGGAGCAAAGGGCGGCGGCTCCGTGCTCCAGCGAGGACGCAGGTCGTCGGGGCGGCGTCTCTGGTGACCTAGGGACAAGAGGAGGATGTCAACGAGATGCGCTTCGACTCGGGCAACAAAAAGAAGTAGTCGGTGGAGGCCGGGGTGGCTCACGGGCGACGAAATCCTCCGATGAACTAGCATGGCTTCGGCGAGATCCAAGTGGCTACGGCGAGCGATGCGAGAGGCTAGTGACGACGTGGAGTGGCAGAATGGAGAGAGGAGGACGAGGGGCTTTTATAGGCGCGGGGAGGGGTGCTCGGGGCTGCGGATATGCGTTATCCAAGTGCAAGGCGGACGACTGTTGCGGGCGGTGAGCTCGCAAGCTCTATCTGAACGGGAGGAACGGGAGGTTGGAGATGATACGGGCGGGCCCCATGGGTCAGCGACAGGGAAGAGATGAGCGAGGGAGAGAGACGTGCAGGCGAGCGAGCGCTGGCTCTCGGGCGCGGGGCTGGGCCGGTCGGCCAGTCGGGCGCGGCTGGCTCCTGGGTCGAAGTTGGCCAGTGGCTGGCTGGGCCGCGGGGTGCTCCTGGGCCGAGCTGGCCTCGGTCCAGGTGGTGTGTGTGTGTTGTTTTTTTTTGTTAAAAAAACACAAAGGAAAACTGTAGCAAAATAAAAAATAAAAAAATTTACATAGGCATATTTTATATCAAAATGTTCAGAAAAATACCAAGAATAAGATGAACTATTTTCCAAGTTCAAATAAATTCCAAAAAAAATCCATAAAATTCAAACAGTGCTACCGTTGCATTTAAAATCAATAAAATCATTTTTGAAATAGCAAAATGATTTCAAATTTATTTTCTCCTAATTTTCTGTTGAAGGGAATCATTTTACCCTTATTTCCATTTATTTATTTTTAGGAGAAAAATAATTTGAATATAAAACTAAATAACTCCCAAGAGGATTTTGAATTTGAAATTTCAAACAACTTCAAAAGGAAAATGAGTTCCAAATAACTTCAAAGTGACTTCCAAATTATTTATTTGAAACTCCCAACTCTCTTTCTTCAATTTTGAAGAAGTCATTTTATCTTCCCTCATGAACTCATTGAGTTGCTTAAAGTTTCTAAGTTTGGATTTCAAATGGAATTCAAATCATTTTCAAACCCCTTTTCATTTCTTTAAATGGAAGAAGTCATATTATCTTCACTCTAGGATCTTGTGATGAAATGAATTTGAATTCTTCGAGATCAAAATGCAAGATGAAAGTTTTGGGAAAGTCCTTTTATTCCCTCTCATTCAACTTTCAAAAAGTTCCAATTTCCACTCAGTTTCACACAATCAATCACACAAAAATCAAACAAATAATCACAATTATTTATTTAATATAACAGTCCAAAATTTAGAATTTTGAGATGTTACAACCTCCATGTAGATGATTAGTTGTCGCAACACAACGAGTGAGTGGACATGTATTCGACTCCGACACCATCTCCCACACGGGAAACACAGTATGACCAGGAATGGTCTGAGCTTCCTCCCTATAACGTGCGGGCACCCCACAGATATATGTGGCCGACGCCGCCTACACCACCTCCACGATGTGGCTGATGCATGTCTAGCACTATATCTATCTATGTACGCGAGAGACATATGCTACCTATGTATGCGAGAGACATATTTCTACCTATGTATGCGAGAGACATCGAAATTAAACGATATGACTTAACTTAGATAATACAACACTTTTATAGATAATTAAAATACAAGTACATCAAAATTAAACGGTACGACTTAGCTTAGATAATACAACATATAAACTACATGAAGACATCATCGTCATCCTCCGTCGATGCAGCACTCTTACCCTTCGACAACGAGACACTCTTGCCCTTCGACGACGAGGCACTCTTTCCCTTCGATGATGAGGCACTCTTGCTCTTCGACAATGATTCACTCTTGCCCTTCGACGATGCAGGTGTCTTGGCCTTGCTGTTCGGCATGAAGATATCGTCTTCGTCTTCGCTTTCCTCAATCCATAAATAAGTATGCTCTCGGGCAGTCCTTAGGAAAGTTGCACTCTTATGTTGTTGCTTATTCCACCTAACATGCAACTCGAGGAGTTCTTTCCGTATCTCCTCAAAGGTCCTTGCAGGCCACCCGCACCTACTTAATGCATGAGCCAACTCATTCAGTATGGTGTCACTACTGATAAGTTCATCCCATTGAACTATCCTATTGTCTATTTCGAAATTGATGGCTAACCTCAGAAGACATTTGGACATACTCGGGTGGAAACTATGATCGAAAGGATAATGAGGACGGGACATCTTGACGAGACTACAATGCACTGCTTACCAATCCTTTCTGTGTGGGAGGGGGGGGTTTATAAGTCGAGAAGAGAAATATGGCGGGAACGATGGCGAGAACATAAGGGGTGGCGGGGAATAAGTTGGCAGGAAATAAGTTGGCGGGAACTGCAGGGTTCGCGGGAAACAGAGGTTGGCCTGGAAAGAAGATGGCGGGAAAGAAGATTGCGGGAAAGACAGGTTTGGTAGGAAAGAAGATGACGAGAAAGGGTTCCCGGGAACACGGTTATGAAAAAAATTTGTGAACTAGGCCAAGAACTCATCATCTACATGGAGGACGACTGGAGCTAATCATCTTCCTGAAGGACGACTGGAGCTAATCATTTTCCTGATGGACGACTGGAGCTTAATCATCTTCTTGGAGGACGATTAGGTCCAGTCATCCTCCAGAAAGATGAGGCTAGTATTATTTTCGAAAAATATCAAAACCGTGTATTATTTTTGAAAATTAATAAAAAGTATTATTAAAAAAAATAGCGAGCTTGAGCTGGGTCAAGCTCATCCACGGCCAGGCGTGGCGTTTATCGGTCCGGAGAGCAGGGTGTGGCTCAGTCAGCACTATACATGGCCATGGGAAGTCCGGCCCGGCCAGCCCGACCCGACGCTGCTCCCGAGCCGGGCTTGGGCCTAGATTTTGAGCCTGATGGCCGGGCCAGGCCCGGGCCCGTCGTTTTTGCACCATTCTAAAGGTTGGGCCGGGCCGGCCCGGAGCCCGACGGGCTTTTACATGTTCGGGCCGGGCTCGGGCCTAAAAAATAGGCCCGATGGTCGGGCCGGGCCAGGCCCAGGCCTGGGTTTTTTGCGTCAGGCTTGGCTAGGCCCGGCCCGAAGCCCGGCCCAGCCCGAGGTATGGCCAGGTATAGTCAGCACCGGTCACGAATTACCCACCATGCACCAGCACCACACATCACTGAGGAAACTGACGCCATGGAGCTGCAAGAGGATAAGGCAATCGTGTCCCCGTGGCTCCGTTTCCTACGGTACGCATGCAGCTAGCACATCCGGCCGAAGCTCTGCTCTCAGCTCGACAGCAATGGCGATAGCCTGCAAGTGCAGCCCCGCGGTGAGGCTGCTGCCGAACCCGATCACGGCACAGCTCCTGGGCGGCAGGAGCCACGGAAGATGCAGATGCAGAAGCCTTGCCGTTCACGCGCAGCTCCCGACCGAGGATGAGTACCCCGCTGAGTCACCGAAAAGGGTCCAGGTTACACAGGTGAATTACTGATCTACTGATAGTCGGTCGTAGGATAAACTCGTGGGCTGCGGTTTGAACTTGAAAGGCCATCATCTGCTGCTTGCGTGCTTCGATCCAGAGCCTCAGGAGGAGCCGCCGGAGGGGACCCGGCGCGCGGCAGAGCCTGATCTCCGTCGGGACGTCGCGCGGCGGAGGGGATGAGTGGAGCAGCGACTTCGAGCTGACGCTCCGGCAGCTGAGGCTGGACGACCTGATCGAGGACGGGCAGGGCGACGCCGACGTCCTGGTGCACCTTCTGGTCCAGCAGGTAACTGAAACAAAAAATATGCACCGAGCAAGTGAGCAGCTGACTGATAGTTCTAAGATCTTCATCTGCTTACAGCACACCCAGTTCGGAATGTCGATCAAAGGGCGAGTGGTCACATCGCTCACCAAAATATGCGATTCCTGCTCCGCCCCATACTGCACAAAGGTACACCACACCGCGGATCACCTGGAAAAATTTCCACTGAAAGATGGCGCATTTGGAAACTGTTCAAGTTAACTGAAAGCATTGGATCCTGGCACCCCGTTGCAGATTGATGAGCAATTCGACATCACGGTGCTGTCTTCCTCCAGGAAGGATCAGAGCGGGTTGCCTGAAATCGGAGACAGCGATCCGTCAGTACGTGATATGATTTACCTAGCTCTGATGCTATATATAATTACCGTAACCATTACGACTATTTCTTTTAGAACAGGTCATCTACGTGAAGCCAGGAACAGAAATTGATATCGACTCGTCAATCCAGGAGACAATACGACTAACAGCGTCAGCCAAGGTTTGCACTTGCAGCACGTCATGTCGAACTGTCGACTGTCGACACACAACCTCTTACAGTTTTACTGATTATCATCATTCAGAGTTCATGTTCGGAGGCGTGTGAGAAGTCTCCTGTCGTGTGGAAACGTAAGTGCTAAGACGAGCTGCAACAACTAGTACATTGGATTGGTTGCTTTTACTGTACATCGCTGTAACAGTTGTTTATCTTGTGAATTTACAGGTGCTGGTAACCAGAAGAAGCGGTACAGCCAAACGTGGTCAAAACTTCTTGATCTCAAGAGAAGTCTGGATAAGGCGCCCAGCTAATTAAATTACTATTGGCGATGCAGTTTCAACTCGACGCCACTGATTATCTGATACGAAAATGCTACAGTGTGATATATCGAACAAAAAGCTTATGTGACCGGATGATTAATCAATTGACATGGTTATCCAGTGATTGCTTCTCTCCATAATACTTTAACTGTATACTCACAGAGACTACTGTACTAGACAATAACAAACCATTTTTTCTCTTTCCTCAAATATATTTCCTGTGGGAAACTATGTATGAAATCAGAATATTCTTTTGAGGAATATATGAATTCACAACTCATTCCACAACTACGGCTTGTTTTTCAAGTCTACTGATTTTTCTTCCAAGGATTTACTCACCCATGCCCCCGCTCACACTTTTTTTTTGGAGAAAATGTTCAACGTGTATTTAAAAATTGTTCATCATACTCCATCCGCTCAAAATAAGTGTCCCAAGCTTAATAGATTTTTTTTACTAAAGTTAGTACAATGTACAAAGTGAAGACCCATATTTTGGGACGGGGGAGTATATCATAAAAATGTTCAATGTGTATTTAAAATTTGTTCAGCGTATATCACAAAATGTTTAATGGTAAAAAAATGATATATTTTTTGATCTTCCGCTATGTGTAGTTTTTAAATATTCATGCGGCCTATTAATCAGTTACGTTTGGCAGCTCACCAGGTAATGAACACAGGGAGTTGCTATGTGACGCGTTCTGCGTCGCTGTGCTTTCGCACAGGCACGTCGTTGCCGTGCGCTGATTGGGCCGGCCCATTGCAGTGCGGCGCAAAAAACAGTTTGGGCGCAATCGCTAGGAAACGAACACAGGACTGCCGACTTAAATTCGCACGCTACTAGCCACAACGATGGATGAGCTCGGTTGGCCAATGTACAGCGGAAAACTAAGTGAACTAAAGAAAGTACTCCTATAAGACTTGACACTGTTTGAAAAATATCCTTTACAATTTTCCAAATTTTTGAACGTACGATTTTGTTTCGGCAAAAGCAAACAATTTTATGATATCACGATTTTTTTTGAATTTTGAACATTTTCAGAATTTCTGAACAATTTTCTAAAGCACAAACATTTTTTAAAATTTGAGAATTTTTTGTGAAATGGAGAACAATTACTGAACAAATTTGGAAGCACAAACATTTTTGAATATGTGAACAAAAATTTGAAATACAGAACATTTTTTTAAATCTTCGAACAAAATTTGTAAAATACGAACATTTTTTGCAAAAAACGCAGCCTTTTATTTGAAAATATCCTGGCATTTGTTGGAAAGGCAAACAAATTTCGAATATTTTGAACATTTTTAATTTTGCATTATTTGAACATGTGTTGCAAAAACGCGAACATTTTTTAAATTTTGAGAAGAATTTGGGAGCCGCCGAACAATTTTTGGAAACGCGAAAAAGTTTCAAACATTTTTATTAGAAAAGAAGGAGAAAAGGAAAGACAAATAGAGACACAAAAAAAACAGGAAAAACATAGAAAAGAAAGAAAAGGAAACAGAACAAGGAAAAGGGAAAAAAGGAAAACCAAAAAATAGAACAAGGGAAAAATCGGTTCAAGAACCTTCTAGAAGTTTCCAAAAACTGTGGACGACTAAAGCTGAAACGGGCTGTCCCAGTTGAAGGATTGCTGGATGTTCCCGAAACCTGCACAGTTTGACGCAGAGTGCGTCCAATAGGAAATTCCATGAACACATACCCTGGGGTGCGAGTTCGATTTCTCAAGGAAGCATGAATTTTGGGATTTTAGTAGGTGCTCGCCATGAAATGGGCCGGCCCATGCGCCCCGCGTGAAAGCTCAGCTATTTCACGCTAACGAGCGTTAGGTAGGAGCTCGCCTTCCCCCAAGGCGTCTGTTAGCCAACTATTTGAGCCGCTGTCATGTGAGAAATTTAGGTCCCCTTGCCTTCGGCTGTCATATTGGCACTGAGAGGGGGGGTCTTCGAATCTAGGGATGGCACCCGCAGGATTTGGTTACGGGTGGAGCCATCCCATACCCTTACTCATCATCCCAAACCTTACCCATCACCCGTATCCATACCCGTTGATGGATACAATTTTTTCCCATACCTGTCACCCCTCAGGGTAAGTGGTTACCCGCTGGTAAAATTACCCAGATTTGCAACACACCAATTTGAGCATTATATAGTCATAAACAACAACTTATAATATTAATAATAATTTCTAAACAACAACACATCAAGACATCAACACATACTCGTTCGTGGGCTAGCTACTGTGGTGCGGCGGCCTAACATGAATGCATGATGAGGTCTTGTTAGGGTTGTCGGATTTATGTACATATATTATGTTTAATATGTGGATAATAATATATAAGGTCTATTTGTCAGAATATATGCGGGTACATGGGTACATGGGTATGGGTTATACTAAACCATACCCATATCCATTATACCCGATGGGTATGAAATTTTTCTATTTATGTACCCATGGATATCCTTTTGACCTATACCCATGCTTTAATAGGGTTTTTACCCGCAGGGTACGCGGGTAATGGGTACCCATTGCCATCCCTATTCGGATCTTCAAGACCTCTATGTTTGTCGTCAACGTCTAATGATCATCATAGTTTCTGAGAATAAATTTTCTCTCGTCTTTTTTGGTGGTATCATGAGATTAGAGAGTTTTTTGTCTTCGCAGTTTTGATTATTTGGACCTGATAAGTTTATATTGTTGTGTCAAGCTTTTTTTTTGGTTTGATTCTTTGTGAAGGTGAAATCTTTATCGACACCACATGAAGATATACTGATTCGACGACCTACACTTTTAAGGGATCATCCCCGACCCAAGTATGTTCATCGATTAAGGCTTCCCATCTTTTTGGATGGGCGACTCAAGGCGCTTTCAAAATCATTGTTGATAATGTTGGTGCGGGTGACATAGTGACAACATCATTGACCCAATTCAATTGCAACCTCTTTACCTAAGTCTTTGAAGTATTTCTTCGAGCAGAAATTGATACCACGAATAAGGTGTTTTCAAGAGATTTTATTGTAATTCTTAGTCGTAGGAGTTACTTCGTGTTTTTCGGATATTAGGTTAAAATCTGTGTACCTGTAATTACCATGAGTATGAATAAAGTTACGTGTGTTTCTTAGAAAAAACTTACCCAAGCAAGTTCTTAGAAAAAAGGACACTTGCCCAACGAAGAAACAGATCGGCTCCGCTCAGGCCAGGGCCAGCGGCTGCCGGCGGCCGGTCGACCGCCATGATGCATCAGCGCCGTGAGGGACGCAGACGCAACCGCTCCCAGCCGAGCCGATAGATTCCCCACTGGTTTCGAGGCTGATTCCAGCGCTCCGTCGCCGCTCACGACTTGCAGTTGTGGCGGATGTGGGGAAGCAGAGGCTCAAAGGGGATGCGGGGAAGCAAAGGCGTGGGGAGAAAGGGCAGAGCTCTAGCTCGAGAGCAAGCAAGTATGTTCATCCTGCCTTTACTCCGTGCCGATGCGCCTTTCCAAATATGCTGGCCTCGAACTGCAACTCTGCAAGAGACCTTGTTCACATAGCTGAAACTCTGAACTTAATCAACAAGACTAGAGATAAGACAATTTGCAGTATTATAAAGCAGTGAATTGTTTACACCATGAGATACTTCTAGAAGCAAACTAATAAAAAAAATACTTTACATAGTAGCCTGGACCAGATATCTTTATACACAACCGATTGTGCTTATCAAAAGAAAGTATTCTAACAGTAGCTATCACTACTCGACCTCATATAACAAAACAATCTAACACTATTTCAACAGCTATGACTAGTTCCCGAGGAATGCATCCACTTTGGCATTGGTGGCCCTTGACAAGAACTTCATGCAGATTGGAGGGTTCACGTTGGCAAGAGAAAGAAAGGCCTGCGGCAGGGCCCAGATCCCGTCGCCGCACATCAAGCCAGATGCAACTGCCGGTGCGAACGCCTGCGCCTCAGCCTTGTTCATCCATTCCCAGCAAAAGAGTATCACACTGCCGATGCACATGTCCATGGCGAAGTATGGTCCAAGGTAGAACGGGATCGCGACCGCCATGGGGATCGGGACGAACTTCGCCACCTTCGCGGGCACACAGTCTTTCAGGAGATTGACGGCGAATGCAGCAGCAAAGAAAATGTAGCATAGCATGAGGCAGTTCTTCGGGAGAACGGACAGGCCATCGACACCCAGGATCGCCATGTTGCGGTACATGATGGCATAAGGTGCTGGGTAAGCGCTATCGCTGACGCCAATGTCGAAGGACTTGTAGAAGAGCCAGAAGACGCAGGGGGCGATAACACAGCCCATGGCAGTGCCTGCCACCTGGCTGATGAACATGGACCTTGGTGAGGCTAAAGTCAAGTACCCGGTTTTGAAGTCTTGCATCAGGTCAGCAGCTGTTCCCACAATGTTCATCATCACACCGCAAGCGGCCAGCCCGACGAGCACGCCACCGTGCGAAGCGCCTGCCCAAGCACCGAACACAAAGATCCCAAGCTTACCATAGGTGCTGGCCAGGGACCAGTCGGTCAGGCCACATCCATAGGCATTGCAGAAGGCCAGGATAGGCGCAAAGACATATGCAACCAAAATGTGGTACCACTCGAGCTGTGGGATGATGAGCGGAAGGCAACCAGTCGTTATTGCTGCAATAATGACATAACCCCCAATTGCAACTCTCTTGGGAATTTGATCCTTCAGGAATAGTTCATTGCGGCGTTTGTCATCAAAAGACTCAGCTTCCACGGCAGCGACAGGAATTCCGATGTTAGAGACAGGAAGTGATTTCGATTTCTTCTCCTTATACATCTCGTAGAAAGCCTTCACTGTTTTGCCAAATACCTTCAGGAAGTTATACAGGCCGTCCCCAAGGATTACTGCTATGGTTATGAACACCTGCGATGTTAAGATGTTATTAGTTCTCAACAGTTACATGTGGTTGTAAAAGCAAAACGTGGCAGCCTGTGTCAAAAAAGCCAAGTACCCTGTAAGCCTGCAGTCCATGTAGACTGCTCTCTGGAAGAGAGTCAGGATACCAACTTCCTTTCTTGCTGCTTATGAGTGGCCACATTATGCCCCACGACAAGACGCCTCCAATCAGAAGAGATACATTGACAATGTAGGGGCAGATCATTCCCACACCAACGTAAGTAGCCGAGAAATCAAAATAGAACCTGGTTGATGCAAATAGTAGAATTTGAGGACACACGTATGGCATAAGGATATATATGATTCATAACAATTGTAGCTGATGCTGAAACCAAGATGATGCTAACCTGTTCTTGTAAGCTTCAAGGCCAAGTGATGGGAAGGAACTGAATCCACAGTCATTCCCAGCAGTGTAGAACCATTGGAAGAAGGCCCAAACGAAGCTCATCGAGAAGTACTTACCCAATGTACGAACTTGCTTCCTGAAATAGGCCAGACATTCTGTCAGTCAATACTTCTTGTGGCTTGTACATATTGTAGAAACAACCAGCAAGGTGGATAGAAATGCATGTTACTCACTTTGCAAGCTCGGCGCCCTGGGGTGTGTGGAATCCATTGATAAGGTAAGCAGTTGCGGTGCCACTCGGATATGTCAGCTTGTAGTCCACAATCATAGTCTGCAACCAAGTATTCCAGTTGGCAACCGCGGCAAGTATTTTTTAATATACTGTGTATATGAAGAAAGTATTGGGGAAGTGGAGTTTCTACCTTTCTCATGGGCACTAGCGCAAAAAGCCCGACAAAGCTGACGAGGAACAGGAATCCTATTATCCATCCGAGATGGGGATTCTTGATGTTCAGAGCATCGTTAGCCTCTGTTGCTTGCTTAGCTATGGTCTCGCTCAGAGCAAACAGGTAACTGCCAAACCCACCTGTTCAAATTCGAATTAATATTGAATCAGAACATGGCCTACAGTATTTCAAACATATTAACAGTAGCAATTTTTATTTTGCATAAAAGATTCCATGCAATGAGCAAACTAAATCAGCCGTGGCGTCAGGAAGAGCATCAAAAAAAAATGTTCATATAAAATCTACTCTCTCTGACCTAAAATAATGTTAAGAGGATTGACAAGCTGAGGCGGGGCTTTTTGTGGGCTGGCGAAGAGGTTGCCCATGGAGGGAAATGCATGGTGTCCTGGAAAAAAGTGTGTGCTCCGAAGTTGACTAGGGGCCTCGGTATCAAGGACTTAAAATGTTTTGGTAGAGCTCTTCGCTTGCGCTGGCTGTGGATGGAGTGGGACTATGTTCAGAGACCATGGAAGGGGACTCCGGTGCCTTGTGACGACTCTGATAGGGCACTTTTCCAGGCTTGCACTAAGATCACCATCGGGGATGGGTGCTCGGCCAAGTTTTGGAAGGATAGATGGCTGGACGGCGAGTCCCCGGCTATGGTAGCTCCTTTGATGTTCAGATTGGCCTTAAAGAAAAACAGCTTGGTTAAAGACGCCTTGCACAATGATTGCTGGATGAGAGGATTAATGCGCATGAACTCTCACGAGGAAATCCACCAATTCTTGAGACTTTGGGAGAAGGTCCAAAATGTGCAACTATCAACCTCCAGAGATAGCATTGCCTGGCACCTGTCGGCTGATAGTTCGTACTCGGCCAAATCTGCGTACCACGCACAGTTCCTTGGGCGCTTGCACCAACCAGAGCTGGCCAGTGTTTGGAAGGTGAAAACGGATAGGAAAATAAGGTTTTTCCTTTGGCTTCTGCTTCAGAACAGAAACTGGACTGCGGACAGATTGCTTTTGCGCGGATGGCCACATGATCCAAAGTGTAAACTATGTGACTTGGTGATTGAAACGGCGGCACATCTCTCTTTTCAGTGCCCTTATGTGAGGCAGGTGTGGCTTTCGCTGAGCGCTACTCATGCTGACCTCACAGCTACAGCGTTGGCTGCCTCCTCGGTGAACTCCTGGTGGGGCGCTTTGCTCCAGCTCAAGCCCAACAAAACAAGGAACAACTCGCTCTTCATGGCATCTTTCGCTCTTTGGAACATCTGGCTGGAAAGGAACAGAAGAACCTTCGATGGAAAGTGCACTTCGGCAGCTGATGTTGCCAGGCTTGCTAGTGATGACTTTCGCCTCTTAGTTGAGGCATGTGGGGGTTAGGCTTAGGTGTTGGGCGACAGGGTTGTTCATGGCCCTCTTGTCTGTTTTGGTTACTCCTTCTCTGTAAGATGATCTTCAGCTGATGTACAGTTGTTCCCTCCTCTTAATGCAATGGCAGAGCTCCTGCTGGTTCGGTTAAAAAAAAAACCTAAAATAATGTCACTGATTTAGCCGCGGCACTTATTTTGGGACGGATAGAGTAGCATAAATACATCTATGGTGGGTCTCTTGATCAGTATTGAATCAGAAACCCTGCTAGTACTCATCATAAGTGTGTATGTGTGCTCATGTTCTTTATAATCACAAAAAAAGGAAGAACAATAGTACTAGCCGGACTAGATGGTTATATTGTGGTTCGTTATTCCAAAATTTTGGAATTCCCATTTTCCTTTGCAGAAATCTTCATGCAATGGCAAAAGCCACAAACCTAAATCTATTTTTGGCGTCAGGAAGCAGAGCCAAAATATTCATCTACGACGGTAGCATATAGCATAAACCACATGAAACTTAGATTATTATTATTATTATTATATTTGTATAAAAAAGCAGATCAAGATGTGCTATTTTTCCGGTGTGCTATTTTGTCTGTCTGCCCGGAGAGCCAGCGATGGAACTCGAAGTAGGGCCGTCGGAGTCCGGCGGCCTGGCGGCGCTGGCTGCCGGCCTCGCGAGGCGCCTGGCCGAGGAGAACTCGGAGAGCAACCTGGTGTTCTCGCCGCTGTCCATCTACGCCGCGGTCGCGCTCCTGGCCGCGGGCGCCCGGGGCGCCACCCTGGACGAGATCCTCGGCGTCCTCGGCGCGCCGTCTCGCGCCGCGCTCGAGGTGTTCGTCTCCCTCGTGGCGGAGCAAGCGCTCAGAGACCAGTCTGGCTCCGGCGGGCCGCGCATCGCGTTCGCGTGCGGCGTGTGGAGCGACCTCACTTGCGCCCTGAAGCCAGCCTACCGCCACGCCGTCCTGAGCACGTACAAGGCCGAGGCCAGCACCGTCGACTTCCAGAACGACCCGGAGGGAGCACGCGGCCAGATCAACGAGTGGGCCGCGCGGGCGACGCAGAACCTGATCGGCGGCGTCCTCGGCCCGGAATCAGTGACGCCGCTCACCCGCGTCGTGCTCGGCAACGCCATATACTTCAAGGGGAAGTGGCAAGAGCCCTTCTGCAAGAGGGATACCGAGAGCAAGCTTTTCCACCGGCTCGACGGCCGCGCCGTCGACGTGCCCTTCATGCAGAGTTGGGAGCCCCAGTTCATCGCCGTGCACCAAGGGTTCAAGGTGCTCACACTCCGGTACCAGACGCAAGCTAATCTAACTCCGCCTGGGCGTCCCGCTCCCTCTGACGGTAACATGTGCGCACGGTTTTCTATGTGCATCTTCCTTCCGGATGCCCTCGACGGCTTGCCGGGCCTGGTTGACATGATAGCATCCCAGCCTGCCGACTTCCTGGAAAAGCACCTGCCGGAGGAGAAGATCGATGTTAGGGAGTTCCGGGTGCCCAAGTTCAAGCTGTCCTTCCATGGCAGCGTCGTCGACATCCTCAAGAAGCTGGGGCTTCAGTTGGCGTTCAGTGATCAAGCCGATTTGTCTGACATGGTGGAGGACGATGAATCTGGCTTGCCATTGGTCTTGAACGACGTAATCCACAAGGCGGTCATCGAGGTAAACGAGGAAGGCACCATAGCCGCGGCTGTGTCCATAGATGAGATGTTATTCGGTGGTGTTAATTTCATGCGTCCGCCACCTCCTCGAGTAGATTTTGTAGCCGACCATCCGTTTGCGTACTTAATAGTGGAGGAGACAACCGGCGCAGTTGTCTTTGCAGGGCATGTCCTTGACCCCTCCATCGAGAGCTAGGTCAATCAAGGACGACGCCTGATTCTGTTTCGGCTTGGCCCACGTAGAGGAGGAATAACATTGTCTCATACTAGTTTCATGCTAGTTTACAAGCCATGGAATTTTTCTTTATTCGTCTCTGTAATTTAATTTCAAGAGAAGTTGTGCGTGCAACAGTCATCCTTTTGGATAAATTTTGAAGTGTTCATATCCTATGTTTTGCTCAAAATTTTACGAAAGTGCAGATAGAAGAAACCATTTCACTAATTCTCTATCGACATGGCCCTGATTACGATATTCGTGCAATGATGAATCCAAAAACATGTCAACTATTAAAACTATGTAAACGTCCCGCGTGACTGATCGGTCACCATGGACACGTGAGCGGCAGACAGTCGGACAAGGCTGTCGCGGCCCTCCGGCACCCTTCCGCCGCTAGAGGGATGACGACGATGGTAGTGCGGTAGGGCAGGACGGCAACGCCTACGAGGTGGTCGTCCGGTATAGGGTTTACTTTTTTAAGTTTTTAGTTAAACGGTCGATATATCGACCTTTTTATGTAATTATGTCCGAACTTGAATGAAATCGATCATGTTTGTTTAAATTTTATCCAGTTTGTTTAGATCTATCTTGTTACGCAAAGCCAAACATTTATTTTCCGAGTTCAACCGACGCACACGCACATTCCAACATAGGATGTTCTATAAAATAGACGACTTGATAGCAGTTCAGGAATTAAAACGAAGGTTCAGACACACCTCAAAACAAAAGACAGTAGAGCAGACACTTCTACTGAAACGCACTGTCGCCACTGACATTGCCACGAGGAACCTTCAGGAGTTTTGCGTCAGACAATTCTTCAGCTGGAATACCGCACTCAATGACGCCCAGGTGCTAAATCGGTCGTGTTTGTTTAAATTTTATCCGGTTTGTTTAAATCTATCTTGTTACGCAAAGCCAAACATTTATTTTCCGAGTTCAACCCACGCACATTCCAACACACGACATGATAGCAGTTCAGGAATTAAAACGAGGGTTCAGACACGCAGCAAAACAAAAAGACAGTAGAGCAGACACTTCTACTGAAACGCACTGTCGCCACTGGCATTGCCACGAGGAACCTTCAGGAGTTTTGCGTCAGACAATTCTTCAGCTGGAATACCGCACTCATTGACGCCCAGGTGCTGCAAAACCTCTAGCAGTCGAGGCGGTAACAACAGACACAGGCTCAGCTGGAGTTCAGAGCATGGCAAACCAGGCACCCTCCTAGGCTTAACATGGGAGATTTTCTTCTTAGTATCTGCCATTGAGGCCTTGAGGGGGCATTGAATCCCATATATATCTAGTCGCCCTGTTGCTACGTCGAACTTCAGTTTGACGGTGTTTACGGGAGACAGCAGAGTCCACTTCCATCACATCAGAACAACCAGGCAGGCTCAACTGAGAGGAAACAGATAACATATGGGAGTAGTTGCTCACAGTCGTTTCAGAGATCATAGGAATGTCCAAAGTGTGCAGCTGATTGTTTAGGTTTCTCATCCTAGTTTCAGAGATCACAGACCAAGAACCAGTCGAACAGAACACAGTGGAAGGGCCTGGTGTATTATTGAAGAATGGTGTCTCAATGAGTAAAGATAAAAAAACAAATGAGAATTTTTAGCTTGCAAAACGATCTCGGGCTCGGGCTCGTGCCGTGGTAGCGAGTAGTTAGCATGCGGTCTCGGGCTCGTGCAGCCGTGGGTTCTGTTGTAACGTTGTAAAAACCCGCCATCTTGGCATCTTCTATCTATGATCGCGATACGTCTGCTTGACGTATCCTTGAAGAAAAAAGGGTCTTATATTGTGGGATGGAGAGAGTAAGAAACATAGTTTGCATCAAAGAATCTCTTAATGGGAAAGCAAATCAAACTAATTAGAAATTGACATGATTCGCATTGATAAAAAGGAAGCAAATAATTTTTTGGGGTAGAAAAAGAATTATATCACACAAAAAAAGAGTTGAAAAAATAAAAAAGAAAATGAAAGAAATTTGGGTTCAGTACCGCTGTTTATCTAAGCATATAGTTGTTGCTGCTTCTTAGTGCTGTATAGTCCCTTATCCACTTGTTAAACATTGTAGGCTGTGATGCCACTTTCCAGTTCTCAATCATATCATCTATATATTTTTCTTTGCATATTGTCAACTCCATTACAGTCTATATTATAAATATTAAGTCTACACCTGAACTTACTGAACAAGCAGGAATATATGGACATTATATGTTGCTAACCCAGGCAATTCTTGGGCATTGTCCGCTGTGATGCCATTTCCAGCTCTCAATCATATCATCTATATTTTTGAGTTGATGAGGTGTAACATGGACATAGTGCCTACTGTCTGGGGTATTAAACTTGAGAGCGAAGAAACATCTGAATCCAAATCCAATGACGCGAGCTTGAAATATTCAACCTCATAGAAAAAATAGTCGTGGGTTTTAGGCAAAGGTAATTCTTGGGCGGGAGCTTCTGGAGGCACTGCCTGGCGCTGGAGTGAAGTTGAAGATACCTCGGCGTGGTCGGCCAGCGCCGCCAACTCCCTCGCCCCTTCACGCCGCACGCGCATAGCCAGCCGACCAGCCGTAGTCGCCCATAGCCAGCGCTTCCCTTGTTAGCCATAATCTTGACTATTAGCGCATGCGTTAGTTGTCACTCCTTTTCGTCCGTGAATAGATGTACGTCTAGATTTTATCTTAAATCAAAATTTTAAAACTTTGACCAATTTTATAGGGAAAAGTGACAGCTGACACTAAATTAGTATTACTAGATTAGTTTTGAAATGTAGTTTCATAGTGTACTCCCTCCTTCCATCTATATAGGGCCTAATACATTTTTCGAGACTAACTTTGACCAAATAAAGCAATAATATATGACATGCAACTTACACAAAGCATATCACCAAATTCATACGTGAAAGGAGCTTCCAATGATATAATTTTTACATTATGCATCTCATGTACTATTAATCTTGTCAAAAGTCAAATGAGGTCTAGAAAAACACATTAGGCCCTATATAGATGGAAGGAGGGAGTACCAGTTTGATGTCATATGTGCTACTACTCTTTTATATTCAAAATCTTAAAACTTTCTTCTGCTTCAACGCCGTGATACACTCAGAATGTTTACGACACCTACCCATTAATTGCTCTAACTTCTCGTGGTTCACCCCTAGCTATGCCCGCTTCTATGAAATTCCAAATTATGTTTGCAACTTGGGATAAAAACTAGATGTATATTTATTCGCGGACGGAGGGAGTAGCTGATTAGCCGGCCGTGAGTTAGTGGCCGGTTGGGGTGGCCGGGTCATACGTGCATGTACAGCTAGCTTTTTTTTTGAGGGAAGGTCATCATGGCTAGCTTTATTGAATTAAACAGGGATTATATCGTCCATCAGTTTTGAGACTAACAAGCCAGGAGGCTCGTTCGTCCAACTACTAGTAATCTTATTACAATAAGAATAGTTAGCTAGCACATGCGCCGCTTCGTTACATTCACGATAACAATGTTTAAAGACGACTTTCCCAATAGAAAAGGAAATATCCACACATTCTGCGAGTATTGCCGAATTTGCATCCCACCATGTTGTGTGTCCCACACACGCATCAACGACAATCGTAGAGTCCGATTCCGCTTCCACCCGCGGCATACCTAAGGAATTGGCAAGCGCCAGTCCATCTCGCATTGCCATTGCCTCCACATTAACCACATCTGCTGCATATGAAATGAATTTGCATTGTGCAGCTAGAAAATTTCCTTTAGCATCCCGAATCACCACCGCTGTTGCCCCTTCTCCAACATCAGGATGGAATGAGGCATCAACGTTGAGCTTGACATACTTTGGGTCTGATTTTTTTCCATCGTTGTACTACGACCGCACTCTTACAATTAGCAACATGATAATTATTAGCAATTGCCAGAACAGACATTGACCACCTCATGGGAGTAGGAGGAGTCCCATCATGTGTGTGTTGTCTTCGGATCCACCAAAGATACCAACCACCCACTGCTATGATTTGTTTAACATCCAGATTCGGTTTAATGAGAGCTGGACTATCTGGTGCAAGAAGGATATGTTCCAAAATGACCGATCCAGACCGGTCTACTCTCCTTGCCTCGTCCACTCTGTCCAGAACACCCAGCCGACTCCATAAATCCCTTGCATGAGTGCACTCAAACAGCAGATGCCGCACATCCTCTGCACCCCGATGAAAAATTGGGCATGCTCCCATCGAACCCACGTGCCGGTTACAGAGTATGGATTTTAGGGGCATAATTCCATGTAACGCGCGCCAGCAGAAAATTTGTATTTTCCGTGGGATGTTCAGCTTCCACAATGCACTCCACACCGCCGGAGAAGTTGACCCACTCGGCCTCTCCATCACATTTGCATTTCCCTGAAAAGTTTGAGTCCATTGCACCCGGTATGCTGATCTGACTGAGAATATACCCTTCCGGTCAGGATGCCAAGCGATAAAATCATCAAAAGCGTCATAGCTCAATGGAATCTGAAGTATTCTCATTGTATCAACAGGGTTAAAGATGGATCTAATCAAATCTTCATCCCATGTGTTTGTATTAGGATCGATGAGTTCATCAACTGTAGATAGGATTGTGTGTCCCCTTGCTGTAATGACCTTCCTATCCGGACTTGCTGGAATCCAGGGATCTCTCCATATATGAACATTTTCTCCTGTACCAATCCTCCATATGTACCCCAACTTGAAGGTTTCTAGTCCCTTCATAATACTTTGCCATGTAAAGGAAGCACCGTTTTAAAGGGTTGCCTGTAAAAGGCTGCTATTAGGGAAGTACTTCGCTTTTAGAATTCTAGCGCATAATGAGTCGGGGTTTGTAATAATCCTCCAGCACTGCTTTGATAACAATGCTAAGTTGAAGGAATATAAATCTCTGAAGCCCATTCCTCCCTCGGCTTTAGGATAGCACAGTTTCCACCAAGAGTACCAATGCATCCTCTTATGTTCCTC